CCCAAAATCTGCTGGTACCATCCTATTATGGGTTTCAAACGTATACGATACGTTCAGGAATATGACTGAAATTGGCTTTCCCGCGAATACGGTATAATGCGGGTAACTATATTCCTCGCGCCGGAACCGATATCGCTGTCTGGTGTGCGGGTAACGACCACCATCCCTCTCAATAGAATCTTTGCAAAGGAAACGCAGATGAAAATGAAAAGCTTTGTGTTGTGGTCCATGCATGTTCAATCTGTGCGCGCGCTTTAGCTTTGATTAATTCAACTAAATCTATCAACAAAACAGGGTTCTTAGATGAGGGGTATAAGTGAGATGACGCCCTCTTTTACAAAACCTACCTTTGCAAACAAAGGTAGAAACATGTATATGTACTTCTAAATTATGTTTCCACCCAAAACTGAAGTTGTGAGATTATCCACCCACCTGTTCCGTAAAAAGGTGATCAGGCGAGCTTTTCAGCTGCTGTGAAACAGGATTTGTTTATTTTACTGGAAAATTATGTTTTGTATGGGCTCAAGTACTAAAGTGTACGACTCAACATTCATTGTGGAACAGAGCACTTTTAAAACGTATAGGCGCCACTCAACACACTCATGCAGTTGAGAAAAGAGATTTCGAAATTTTGCACAAAATGACGGGTTTTTTTTGTAAGAGTGAGACAATGCGCAATGGTTATACCAAGACTAGTGAGTACTTCCCTTTGAAGTTTACGATCTGCTGTTGCTTTCTGATCCGACAGGTGGTCATTTCCTGTCACCGAGTGTCATACCGGGCCCATTAGAGGCGCAGGTCGTTAACCGTGGGGCGTAAATGCGTACCGCACGGTCGCCGGATGTAGTGTCTGCGACTCTAGTGTACATGGTGGACATCCGCTCAGCGCTTAACGATCGATCGTGCGACGAAAACAAAACAGTTCATTGTTGTTTGCAAACAAATTCGTCATTAAAAAGTTCGATAAGCCTTCGCACGTTGAGCACATCCCAACTTTTTTTTTCTTTCAGATTGGGATTTGGCCCCGAATGCAAGCATTTAAACTGTAAATGAATGAGAAAACAGTAAAATTTGAAGGCCAGCTTACATGGTGTGAGGTCCGCAGAATGAGATTCCGCAAGGCTCCGGCAAGCACTTTTCCAGTACCAACCTGACATGCCATCGATTTTGATTGAGAAGAAATAACACAGGATCTGTAATTTTATGGAAGTTTAAAACCTGGAATAGGTTTCCTAAATTTGAGTTCCCTCTTCTCGCTACAAGAAATTAAGGGTGCAATTTTACTTGTGGGATTTGACTGCGTTGGGAATAAATCATCATGGACCATAGGGCACAAAACTAGGAACACCTGATTGTTTCCGTCACGTGTTGTCAAGGCCGTCACTCCGACCTGCGGGGTGCAGTAGCACATGTTCATTTATTTTACCCAACGGGGGACGAATGGATTACATATTTGAGCAATTAGTCCTGCTGCTTCAAAACGTGATTATGGCGTGCAAATGGAACAAAATTGTAACAGTATATTTCACCCCTCTGCATGTCTCTTCGCCTGCAGTATTTTGGGTATAAGTTTTCTTCGCGGCCATTTCTTATCTCTGGCTGAAATAAACAGCATAGCCCTACACAGAAATAGTTCAAGCAGTGGGGTAACTTTGAAGGCTGCAAAAAAACACCAGAAATACCCCCAGTGAAGAAAAGTTAGTGCATAGCTCCATGATGCAAAGTAACAAAGTCAACACTATAAATGATCCATTCAAGGTTGTTTTGAATATTAGTTTTGTCCAAGCCAGCGAACCATGGAGGAACAAATAGCTGGAACGTAAGTGCTCCTCGTTATTAAAGTTATACAGACCAAGAACGAGGTTGCAAATACACAAGTCACACTGAACGGTTGTTCAACAAAATGAAGTTCACTAGCATTCAGACCTCTTCTTATTAAACAAAAATTCAGGCCTTCCTGCTCGAGGGGTTTGTAGTCACTCACACGATACCCGTGGCTCTCGACTGAGATCTGAGCAAGCAAGGGTACCACTGCGTGCTCCAACAGACCCAGCTTATCGCTATGCCCATCGACTGACTCGAGGGTCCTCATCGCTGACCCCGGCCGCGTCCACCGTACGCGTACTGCACTGCTGGGCCAAAACTTTCCCCTCGAACAAACTTTGCCTGCTCGGAAATCCAGGTTAAATCCATGTTCACCCACAGGTGAATCAATCGACCTTTTCCAGGTCCCCAAGGGCCTGGCAACGCTGACCTTTCCTTTTCTTCTCTGATGTAATTTGTAAAAAATGCCGGGAGGCAGAGGTGTATGTGGTCGGTAAATCGATCGCTCTGCTACGGAGGCCCCGCAGGAGCGTGGCAGTCGCGGATTTATGTCACGATAGCATTTCCTCACGGGAAGCTTCCCATTTTTTTTCACTGTTGAAAATTTGTACTGCTGTTATAAATATTCAGGACTGCGGTGTCCTTTCGGGGCCTCCACAAAGTGTGCATTGGGATTCGTCTGTTACGACTGCGGTGCATTGAGCTTCTAGGCCTGGTAGTAGTAGAAAGCAACAGTTCGGCTTTACACCCATTAGTTAGTTACAGTACACTACTCCACCGAGAATAACGGAAAGAGCTACAATTTTGTGAGCTCAGGTTGCAGACAAGTATTTCTGCGACGTGGTCAACTTACGACAAGGTACGCAAATATGTGGTTAGGGTGGTTTTTGTCTGTTATCTGCAGGTTCTAGGCCTTCTGATAGCCTTTTTCTGATGGCAAGACAAGACACACCTGCTGACCATTTAATTGCAGAGTAGGTTCTAGAAACACCCTATGCTGAATTTTAAAAAAGTTGGATAAAAAGATACGGTAACGTGTCATGTGTGTCTCGTTGTTATCAGTGGAGGATAATGAAAATTTAGCAAGGTTTTATCAAACTTTCGGCACTCCTGTACTCCACATAAAAAAGCTCTCTTGATCAAAGAATATAAATCTGCGTGGTTTAAAACGGATCTCGGGTACATGTTCTCTACGGAGAACCACGATGTCCCTGAAGCAAAGACTAAGGCCGTGTCCGAAACGGGCTTCCGGA